ACTCCCCTATGAAATGTAAAACTGCTCCAAAACAAAAGGGAGGCCCCCCAAACCAAGTCTATTGCAGGATTGAAGTTCCACTCTTGACAAATCAGGATGCAAATGATGTTGGTGGGGGGCGGAGATCGTAGCTACAGATGCTCCTAGGGAGGGAGAAGGTTCTAAGGATGAGGGTACAGTGAGAGAACCAAAAAAGAAGAAACCTACGCCTACCAATTCTGAAACTTTGGCAGAGGCTGCTAGACAGCCCTGCCCATCCCAATGATATGCTGAGTTGGAACTGCTGGGGGCTTGGGAACCCCGAGGTAGTTCGAGAGCTTCACAGCATTGTGAAGCAAGAAGGGCCCGTCCTGGTTTTTTGTTATGGAAACAAAGATCAGAGGGAAACGTGTCGAGAGACTTCAACAGACCTTAGGGTTTGCTGGTTGCTTTGCTATTGACAGCGCGGGGTTAAGTGGAGGCCTGGGTCTCTTCTGGTCCAAAGATGTCACAGTAGAACTCAAGAACTACAATTCGGCCCACATCAATGTTGTGGTGTGCGATGCATCAGATGCTTCGGTGAGTTGGAGATTCACTGGATTTTATGGAGCGCCACGAGCTGAAAACAGACATCACAGCTGGCGGTTCCTATGGACCCTGCATAATCTTCCACACGTGGATTGGTTGTGCATGGGTGATTTTAACGAAACCCTTCATGGGGATGAGCACTTCAGTCGGACGGTGAGACCGGAATGGCAAATGAGAGCATTTCATGAAGCCACTGATGAATGTGTGTTGCAGGATTTAGGTTGGTCTGGTGTCCCCTACACATGGGATAACCGGCAATCTGGTGATGCCAATGTCAAAGCTCGGCTAGACCGAGTGTTTGCTAATGAGGAATTCATACAAAAATTTGAGTATGTCAAAGTGCACCATGTTTGCTCCATCGAGTCAGACCATTGCTTTGTACTAGCGGACTTGCGACAACAACATCCCAACAGCAACTCACATACTTCGAAACCTTTTCGTTATGAGAATATTTGGCAATCTCATAATGATTATGATCAGCTGGTTACCGAAACTTGGAGAGCACAAGCCAGGCAACCAGGTCTGCACGGCGTAATGAACGCCCTCGAGGCTCTGCAGCGCAAGCTCATGCCTTGGGGGGTCCGAGAATTTGGATGCCTAACAAGGATAGTCTGACAGCTTCAAAAGCGACTTGACAGGCTTCGCTGTCAGTCAGTCGGATGGGGGCCTTCACAGGAAGAAACAACTACCATGTCAAAGCTCCGAGAAGCGCTTAAACTCGAGGAGATATGGTTGAAGCAGCGGTCACGTGTCCCTTGGCTACGCGAAGGAGACCGCAACACAGCCTATTTCTAGGCGCAAGCTAGACAACGCAAACGTATAAATAAGATCGCCAATTTGCAGCGATCAGATGGCTCTGTTTGCGCATCTGGAGATGAGGACAAGGAAGAGATCCTTGATTTTTACCAGGCTCTTTATACATCTCAAGGGTACAGCAACAGTGATGAACTGTTAGCGCATGTACCAAACCGGGTCACGCCGGCCATGAATGATATGTTATGTAAACCATTCGAAGCCTCCGAGGTCCAAGAAGCTTTATTTTAGATATCCGCGTCCAAAGCGCCAGGGGTGGATGGATTTACAGTTGGTTTCTATCAGCGTCACTAGGAGCTATTAAAGCATGACATAGTCCCGACGGTGCTTGATTTTCTTAATGGTGGTGAGCTACCTGCTGGACTAAATGATACTGCTATCACGCTTATTCCTAAGGTACGTCATCCACAGAACATCTCCCAGTATCGCCCCATTGCTTGATGCCCAGTTCTATACAAGATCGCTGTCAAGGTCATAACCAATCGGCTGAGGCCATGCATGGATGAGATTATCAGCGAGGAGCAAAGTGCTTTCATCCTAGGTCGTTTGATCACGGATAATGTACTTGTGGCATTTGAAAGTGTCCATACGATGAAGAGACGAAAGAAAGGGAAAAACTTTTCGTGTGCAATCAAGTTGGACATGATGAAAGTTTATGACCCTGTAGAGTGGCACTTCCTTGAAGCTATGCTAGTGAGACTTAGATTTGCTGGCAATTTGGTCAGATTAATAATGAAGTGCGTCACTTCAGTTCGTTTCTCTGTTCGTGTTAATGGAGAATTGCTGCCTTACTTCACCCCCTCGAGAGGATTACGACGGGGTTGCCCTATATCCCCATACCTATTTCTGATCTGCGCCGAGGGTTTTTCTTCTCTGTTGAAGCATTATGGCAACTATATTGACCGAGGTATACGTGTAAGCTTCAGAGCCCCATGGGCCAATCACCTTCTATTCGCTGATGATAGTTTGATCTTCATCAAGGCGAGTAATGAGAGTGCATCTCGTTTGAATGACATCCTCAGAATATATGGTGAGGCCTCCGGCCAGTGTGTGAATCGAGCAAAAAGTTCCATCTATTTCAGCCCAAACACACCGGCGACTCTAAGAGGGAGTCTCAAACAGCTTCTGAATGTGCACTCAGAAGCCTTTTCTGAAAGATACCTCGGTCTCCCAATTGCTGTTGGAAGAGTTACGAGTGGAATGTTCGAGCATATTGGAGATCGGGCGAAAGGGAAAATGCAAGGATGGTCTGAAAGGTTCTTTGCTTGTGCAGGTAGAGAGACTCTAATCAAATTAATTGTGCAAGCAATACCGACCTTCAGTATGTCTTGCTTCCTTTTGACCAAGAAAGTGTGCAAGAATCTTACCTGAAGCATGGCAAAATATTGGTGGGGGAGCTCCGTGGATCGACGCTCTCTACACTGGATAGCTTGGGAAAAGCTTGCTACACCCAAGATAGAGGGATGGGATTCCGGGACATGCGACAATTTAATCTAGCGCTTCTCGGGAAGCATGGATGGCGGTTCCTAACAAAACCAGACGCCCTCTATATGAGAGTGATGAAGGGAAGGTACTTCCCAGACTGTGATTTCATGCAAGCGCCAACACCCAAGTCTGCCTCAGCCACATGGCGTGCCATCATCACCGGGCGAGCAGCCCTAAGTGTTGATCTTATAAAGCGCATCGGTGATGGGGTTTCAACCTCGGCCTGGGAAGACCGATGGATCCCATCGACCGTAACTATGCTGCCTCTGTTCAGGCCGCCATCCACCCCGGTGACTATGGTCGGCGAGCTCATCGACTCGGACAACTGGACCTGGAAGCGCGACCTGGTTCGCGCGACATTCATTCCACCAGACGCAGAGGCAATTCTTAATATTCCGCTTTGTCGGGGCGGCGGGGCGGACTTTCTTGCTTGGGCACATGAGAGATCTGGCATCTATTCTGTTAAAACAACATATCAAGCTCTAGTGAATCAGAAAGAGCGGTTAGCTCTAGAAGAAGGGCATATATCGGGGCCATCAATGAACGAAGAACATATGTGGAGCTTGCTATGGAAGCTCAAAGTTGTCCCAAAAGTAAGAGTCTTCTGGTGGCGGGTGTTGAGGGGAATCATTCCGGATGAATGCACCCTCCATCATCGCCATATCAGAGATACTAGCTCATGTAAGCTTTGCCTGGCTACAGACGAAGACTTGATGCATGCTCTTGTCCACTGTTCTCATGCAAAGCGGTTTTGGGAGGAGGCAAGGCTACTCTTTGGGATCAACCTACCCCGGCTCCATCCCAGTACTTGGGCACGCGATATCCTATGTGATCTTCGGTTCACTGACAAGGACCGTGCCATCATCATCACGGTCATGTGGGCCATTGGGATGTCTCACAATAGAAGAACACATGATCAGGAGACCATTGATCCAGTTGCCTCGGTCCGTCGCATCCGTGAGGACCTTGCACTGTTGGATATTCCTCGACAGAGCTTCGTACTTCTGCCAGGTCAAGGGTGGCGGCCCCCCGAAGATGATCATATCAAGATCAATACTGATGCTGCAATACACTTTGATGCCGGCGTCACCGGCGTGGGGGGAGTGGCCCGCTCTTCCTCGGCGTTCTCGGGCGCATGGTGCAAACCCCACCTAGGGGTCACAGACCCTTTCATTGCTGAAGTGCTCTCCCTGCGGGAGGGTGTCATCTTCGCCAAGCTTCGAGGCTACATGCACGTGTGACTGGAATCCGACTGTCTTGAGGCAGTTAACCTCCGAAACTCTAGCGACACCGATCTTTCGGTAGTAACACCAATTTTCTTAGAAATTAGAGAGCTTTCTGCTGGCTTTTTGTCTTTTCATATTTCTCATGTAATAAGATCCGCTAAGGGTCCTGCACATTTGTGTGCTAAGCGTGCATGTACGCTTTACGTGACCGAAAGATGGCTGGACTCCACGCCTAACTTCCTGGTTAGCAGCCTTCTGGCTGACTGCCCAGCGAATGCGTTCATCTAATAAAGCTCTCTAAAGTTCCCTGAAAAAAAAGCTTTTACGGATACTCCAGGCCAGGCGCCTTTGCCACAGGATGGCAACCAAACACCCTCTTAGGCCAACTCCAGCGCGTGACCCATTTCTACCTCAAATCGTCCGTTTGTGTCCGTTTGGGATAAAACGGACAAACCGAACAACCTAACGCATGGGAGCATACAGACGTTTCGTCCGGTCTGTGTCCGCTTTTGCCCTATTTCCAGACCAAAATTGCTCTAGGTTTGGGGCCAAAGCGGACAGAAAGCGGACGTCTTCGCGTCCTCGTCGTCCGTCTATGTCCGCCCTCAACCCCACCTGTCACTCTCTCCTTTTTTGTACCTGGCCCACCATACGGACAAAATTTGGACAAAATAGGTATAGATTTAGGGTAGCAGCGTTGGGCGCAGCAAGTTTGTGCGGCCTCTGTCCGGCGTTTGTTCTCCCTATTTCTACCCCATATGGATAAAATCCGGACAAAATAGGCCTATTTCTACCCCATATGGATAAAATCGGGACAAAATGGGTATAGATTTAGGGTGCTGAGGTGGACCCCAAACACACAAAAGAAAGGTCACATTCCTTCTCGACCCACCGCTCCGGCCGGCAGCCATGGAGGAGTACCTGGCAAACATGAGGACCCTACGCAGCTACATGAACGGTCCGTCGCGCGAACTCACCGCCCCTTCCCCCGCCCCTGCTCCCGCCGCTCTGACTCTCCAGCCGCCTCGGCTGTCGATGGTTGCGTCGCTGGGCTGCAGATCTGGAAGAGGAGGCAGCGAAGCGGTCAGCGGAGGAGCAGAGGCAGCGCACGGCCATAGATGCTCACGACAGCGACATCGCCTTAGGTTCAAATGTCTCTTGTTTCTATCACTGGATTCGCGCTGCTAATTTTGCCGTCTTGGTTGATGATGTCGCTGTTTATGTTTGGGCAGTGAGGGCGCAGGCGAAACAGGTGAGCAACGAGGCCGAGCACCTTGCCAAGGCGAGGGCGCATGTCTGTGTGGAGATGGCTGAGAAGCAGGGTAGGATCGCCTCACTGGAGGTCGTGGGTGCCACGCTGAAGCAGGTGAGGATCCTGGATTGTTCGTTGTAGCTCTTGCGGAGTTTGCTATCCTGGAAATATGTGCACGTAAGCCGTAATAAGTTATTTGATGGCACTCCTTTGTGGCATGTTGGAGGACGTGAAATGCTATGTTGAACGGTATTTAGCGAGTGAATAGTCATGCTTTCGTAGAAGTGGGAAAACAGCGTCAGCTGTTGTGAATTAGTAGGAAGTTGGTTGGTCATAATCGTTAAAAAAATGCAGACGGAGAATCACCTCTTGCTGTGGTCGTGAAGATGGGAGGGCAGGACTCCACCCACTAGGGTTTATATCCTGCCATTCTTGTGCGCATTTGTAGGAACTTTGTGAGATTGGTGGATATGGCTGATCCTTGTTTTGGAAGCGTGTGTTAAGGAGGTGCGTTGTGAGTGTGTTTCCCTTGCAATCGCCAAGAAAAAGGGCAGACTAGAAGTGATGCAATTGGACAGTTATATTTTGTCTTAAATGGTAGTTCTGAAATGCGATGTTCTTTTTGCGGGGGTTGGCTCTTCCAAAATCTGTTCCGAGGGTTAAATTTTTGTCCCATCTGAGATACATTTCTTGCTTTTCATACCCTAATATTGATTTTTTCCCCTTCGGCGCCAGTCCGTTGGGTTGTCAAATCGTCAAATGTAATCCAGGTGTTGGTATTCAGCTGTCAGGGCCTAAGTCCCCGAAGGGATAGTGGTGGATGGTGGGAGGACGGGGGCGGGGAAGGTTGCCTTTGGGTACCGTGATGCCAAGGGGAGATAGGGCTGCAGAGGAGAACCCCTACCTTTTCTATTTATGTTTCTTGCTTGTTTCTCTCAATACCAGTCCCGGGCATTATTTATCCTGCAATTTACATGACTTGGAAAGTAAGGACTCTTTAAACCGACTTAGACCTGAACACAATAGGGGAAACCTTCTATTTGTAACAAAAAACCCTATCGCACTCAGATCAAACTTCCTAAGGCTTGAACTTACCTAATCCTGTACTCCTATAATATGGTGGCCACCGAGTCTTGCTTCGGCTTGCACCTGCAGACATAGTGCTGACCCACATGACATCAGTTCCCTCCATGAGCAGCTCGTGCTTGAGCCAGAAGGTTGGGTTCTTATGCTGAAATTCAGTAAGATGTTCACAGGAAGCTTGAGATGCAGCACGACCTGTCCATTGCACAAACATTTGTTGCATGCCATGACTAAGACGAGCCACAAGTAAAGAGAGATGTTGGGAAGTTTGTTCAGCGGTGCCACATTGCAAGGGCTAGGTCCAGAACATAGGGTTATACATGTCTTTGTCTGTTCCTGTTGCTCCATGGGAGGATATCTCTATGGACTTCGTCTTGGGTTAGCCAAGAACAAGACGAGGGAATGATGCTGTGTTTGTGGTCATGGACAGATTCTCTAAAATGGCTCATTTCATGCCATGTCGCAAGACAACAGATGCTCATCATGTGGCTAACCTATTCTTTCGAGAAGTGGTCAGACTTCATGGAGTTCCAAGGTCCATCGTCTCAAACCGCGATAGCAAGTTTCTTGCTGCATTTTGGCTCACTTTGTGGAAGCAAGTCAACACTGCATTCAGATTTTCTAGCACTGCCTATCCACAAACAGATGGACAAAATGGAAGCGGTGAACAATTTTTTGGGTAATCCTACAATAACTCTTTTTTCATTGTCTACGATGAAGTTCCATCACACGTGGTGGACCTCGTGAAGCTACCATCAAGGGGAAACTCAAATTCAGTATCGTCCTTTGCTGATAATTACACTGAGTTGTTTGAAGAAATTCATGGTGTTTCGAAAGCACAAAATCGGAAATATAAACAACTTGCTGACTGCAAAAGGAGGCTGAAATCATTCCAAGTTGGTGGTAAGGTGATGGTCTACCTCTGGAAAGAAAGATTGCCTTTTAGGTATTAAAGGGAAGCTTAGAAGCGAAGGTATGTGCCCTTCTCTATTATGAGGAAGATAAAATGATAATGCTTATGTGATAGATCTTCCAAGCGAGATGGGGATATCCAACACATTCAATGTTGCGACTTGACTATACCATCCAGAAGAAGCGCTCTATGAAGTTAACTTGAGGTCGAGTTCCAAACAACCAGGGGAGAATGATGAGGAACAATAGAGGGAAAAAACATATGTCAAATCTGTTTGCTACTTCTAGATACTTCTACTCTAGTCTAGTATTTCTTTTCTTTTCTTAACCTAGCCACTGTTTTCTTGAGTCTTCTAGCTATGAGTAGCTATGAGTAGAATGGTGAATCTTAAGTGATGTTTTCTAGAGTGTTCTAAGCTATAAGTAGAAGTGAAATGTGAGGGCTTCCCAAAGCCCTATAAATAGAAGTCATCACCTCTAGTTTGTAACAAGACTATTTACCACCACTTCCTATAATAGAGTTTGGTGTTCTTATCTAAGATTTTGAGTAGATCTTGTGCTCTAGGAGTTTTGGATTGAACTCCTGCTGCCACATTGGCCTATTTCCACCTCTAGAGCGATATCTAGTGCAACTCGTTGAAGTAGGTCCTTCAACACGTGTTGTACACTTTGTAGCAGCAAGGTTTGTTCCTCCACAACAACCTTGTGCTGCTTCAGGTGTCATGTGGAAGGAGGCCCCAGAATCAAGAATCTAGAGCAAAGATGTACCTGACGAAGAGTGGTGGTGGATCAGATGTTTGACCATCAGAACTAGCAGAACCTAAGGGTGGTGCAGAAGCAGCAACGCGGCGCAGCAAGGTGAGCATCTCCTGGTGAACCTTCTGAAGGTAGCCCTCACGAGAATTAGAGGAGCCTCCTGGGTCCATACGAGGATGGCCAACACGGTGATCGTGTCTCTTTCTCTTGATGCACTCCATGATCATGTGACCATCCTGCTTGCTATAGGTGCAGAAAGCACTTGTGGAGGCTGCTGGCACCAGTGCAGGAGAGGGCACACCATGCAATAGTGGTGAAGCGCGCGCAGTCAGGACTGCTTAAGAGGACGACAACAAGCCCGTGCTGCGTAGACGTAACTCCTCAGATCGCACCTCAGCAAGGGCCTCCAGAGAGAGCCGAGGATGGCGTGCCAATAGCTGAGCACGACTCTGCTCGAACTCTGGTCGGAGGCGAGTGAGGAATTCGTAGAGGCAACAAACCTCCAGCTTAGCTTGTTGCTGCACACAACACTGCATCTGGCAAACATCAGCTCCCAGATAGCCCAATTGGCACCACACATCCGATATCTCCTAGTCATCCACAGTAGCATCTCCCTGTTGTAGTTGTTGCTCTTGACAAACATTAGAGAGATACATGCCACCCCCCGTAGATTCGTAATGACGCCGAGGCGCTCCCACATCTGATGGTAAGGGCCACCACATTCATGGTCAGATCAACATCCATGCCGTTCACCAAGATAGAAGAGGCTCGAGCATCATCATTTGTCCATTGATTGTACAGGTGAAGTTGATTATGATACTCTTCTTTTTAGTGGCCTCCTCAAAGGCATCTAGCATCTAACGTTGATCGGTATTACCGGCATCAACAGGGAAGGCCAACTTAGCCAAAGGAGTGGGCAGTAGAGGACAGGTCAGAGCACATGTGAGGTGCTCCCAGACCAGCTGGCCCCTCATGTGCAGCTTGATGTACTGCACCCAGTCCTTGTAGTTCCGTGCATCAAAGATAACAGGACATCGGGGGGCTAGGGCAGCACCGGTGGTGGTGTGGTAGGAGCTAGGACCCTACTGGGTCTAGGGCGGAGGTTGTAGGGGAAGGAGGGTGCTGGACGTGGCGGAGCTCGCGGTCGCCGGCGGCAAGGCGCTGTCGTGCGCGAGGGAGGAGGCGGCGGCGCAAGGAGCAGGAGGCGGCTAGGGTTAGGGTCCGGCTCCTCTGGGAGCCGGGCAATAGAATTATTCTTATTGCTTAATTCTCAAAGAATCTTACAACTAGTATATATAACCACGATGAAAATAAAATAGATAACTTGCGGGCTAAGCCCCTAACTAAACCTGCCCAGTGGGCCTCCTACGGGCATAAGTCTGCCCGGTCATAACATCTCTCCCCGCCTGCGCAAACAACTCGTCCTCGAGCTGGAAGACTGGGTAGTGCTGGTGGAACTCGTCGCACTGCTCCCAAGTAGCATCCTCCTCTAGAAGTCCAGCCCACTGAATCAACACGTACCACACCCCGCGACGTAGCTGGGCCTTCCACCTTCTCCAGTCCTGGAAGGAGGTGCCCGTCGGAGGTTGGAGGAAGCGCTGGAGGGGCCGCAGGTGGCTCCCCACAGAAGGGCTTCAGCAGACCCACATGAAAGACGTCGTGGATGCGGGCGCCGGCCGGAAGCTGAAGCCGGTAGGCCACCTTCCCGATGCGCTCCAAGACAGCAGAAGGTCCGGCGTAGCGAGGACCCAGCTTGCGCTTCGCGTGTGGGTCCAGTGACTGCGTAGAGTGATGGAGACGCAGCCATACCCAATCACCCACTGCGAACTCCGCCTCGCGATGGTGGTCGTCGTAGTAGTGCTTGGCCAGCTGCTGGGCCTGAAGGAGGCGTTGCCGGACCTCTGCCAGCATCTCGTCACGACGCCGCATAAGATCACCGGCCACCTCCGTCCGAGCCGTCGCCGGATCAACCGACAGGATGGGTGGGGGCGGCCTGCTGTAGACCACCTCAAATGGAGTGGCGCGCAGGGCGGAGTGATAGGAGGTGTTGTAGCAGTACTCCGCCCACGAGAGCCAATCCACCCAAGCGTGAGGACGATCACCTGTGACACAACACAAATACATTGTAATCACCTTGTTAACAACCTCGAATTGGCCGTTCGTCTGAGTATGGAAGGCCGTGCTCAGGCGGAGCTTCACACCCGCCAACCGAAAGAGATCGCGCGAGACATGTCCGGTGAACACCGGGTCCCGATCGCTGACGATCGAAGAGGGAAACCCGTGGAGGCGGACGATACCGTCGAAGAAGGCACGGGCCACGGATGCAGCCGTGTAGGGATGACCGAGCGCGATGAAGTGAGCATACTTGGAGAAGCGGTCGACCACCGTGA